GCAAAAACGACAATTATGCTGCACGCATTACATCGCCGCGAACGTCGGAGTGAGTGCAATCATTTTAGGACCATCAATCACTGATAACACTAAACTGATGAGCCGTAAAAGCTTTTAAAGCGTCGCCTACGGCCAATTTTGGATAATGTAGTTTTTTGAGGTTTCGCGCGCGTGCACAATTTTAAGGTTTGACATGTTTGGTGTCTTTTTACCCGACATGACCCCATCTTTTTTATCAAAAAATTGGGTAATAAATGTTTTAGAAGTTAATATAGGGGAAACAGTGTTTTTTTTTAATTTTCTGTAATTTACCCCAGTGGTGATTAAATACCACCAAAAGAAAGCTCTATGTGTCCCCAAAAAATGGTAAATAATTCAGTTCAGTACAGCGCTGCATGACGGAATAAATGTCAGTCAAAGTACCGCAGCGCTGAATACTGAAAAATGGCCTGGATGGGAAGGGGGTTTAACACCGCAGACTTCAAGTGGTTAATGTAGCCTAAGGCCATGCTACGATATTATTATAATTGATTTTCAGCAGAGACAAATATGTTTCCAGTACAAAGAAATACAAAACACAAAGTAAAGAAATATATTTTATACAAAAAAGAAATCTATACAAACAATAAATATTATATTTAAGTTTATAATTTAAATTCTGCTTAAAAGGTACATCTTGACAGGCTCATGTGACCAGTGGTATAATTTGAAGTCGTTACCTGGGTTTTTTTATGCCATTAGGCAAATGATTTATCTCTAAGGAGAAGTGAACATTCCATTCTGTGCACATATGTCTGAGTGAAGCAAAATAAAACTGACTCGAATGTCAGAATGCACAGACATGGTTCCACATAGAGACAACTGTCCTCTTTTCTCATGCACTGTTCTGACCGACACAGGTAAGATATTACTTTATGTTGTTGTTTCGCTTAATTTGCATAACAAAAGGACAACGCAGGGCCTCTTTATCAAGGAAAAGGGAGTCACATTAATTTGACATAGTTGCCCAACATGTTTGGATTATCTTGTGACAAAATGGGTTTATAATAAATTCAGACTTTCTGCAAGAATAGGGTATGCTGGTGAGGAGCACTTTTTTCCAATGCAAGTTGAAGACTGAAGGAGTGTTGGAAGTCATACCACTTATGTAAATTATCCCCCTAATGTCTATGAGTTAAAGCTGAACTCCAGGCAGACCTAAAAGATACAAATGAATGCAGCTATGAATTCATCAATAGACTAATAAGTGTAATTCTTTTACATGCACACAGCGGAAGTCTCTGAATTTGGCCTGGTATCAGCATCTTATAGTCCCTGTAGAATAGAGCTCAGACTAGGAGAGAGAGAAGTAGCACAAGGGGCCAGTTGTGTTGCAATGCTCATGAATTAACAAGGAACATGCTGATAGGTAGAGGGAGCAGAGAGAGATGAGCTCACTAGTCTACTGCTTCTCCTGGTACTGTTCAGTCATCGGCTGAGGGAAGGGCAAGACCTTTAAAAGGAGAACTATGGGGTAAATGTTTTTCTCCATAGTTCTCTTAAGGGTCACGGGAGGACATATACTAGCGTCCTTCCTTGACCAAAAGCTCAGTATATCACCGAGACCGCCGCAGCCGGGATGGATCCCGACAATGCTGTCGAGATCCACTCAGATGCGTGAATGACAGCTGGCTCTGCCTATCTAGCCAGTGGCTCTGCCTATCTAGCCTATCAGAGCCAGCTGTACCCGCCCCCATCCGTTGCTCCAATCAGCACTGGAGAAAAAGGAGCGGGGAGGAGGGAAATCCCTGCAGGGAGCCATGACTGCTCTCTGCAGGGAGATGATCGAGAAGCGAGCGAGCGACGGTATGTGTTCGCTCACTTCCCGAACTATTGAGCTGACATGCGACAGTTTCATTGTCACACGGCGGCTCAAACTAATTTCAAACTGATTTTCACTCACCTCATAATTCTCCTTTAAGTGTTACTTACGTGCAACAGAGAAACCTCAGGTCTCCTGCCCTAGAAAGGGCTTTGCTGTGTGGCAGGGCTGCATATATTGCTGGACTGGATGGACAGAAATACAAATACTTAGGCAGGTAATGCAGCTTCCACATAACTATGTCATCTGTGCATATAACTGTTTGCCTGGAGTTCAGCTTTAAATATTTATGTTCTCCAATACACTTCAGAGCCTTCAGATGTTGTTGTGGGAATAACAATTCCCTGTCTCTGTAACACACGGAGAACATCCAGTATTGCATCTAACTCTGATCTGAACTTCTCTAGCTCCATATTCTTCTGCTGCACAAGCTTCTTCCACTTGTATGTTTCTCTGGTTTGTACACTTTCCGCAGCATGCCTTGTTTGCTGTATTACCTGCAGAATTGTAGAAAGATACTTTAACATGTGTTTACAAAATAACATACTATACCAGAGAACCTGGCATTCCCTACTGATCACTGTGGGAGTCAAATAAAAGATTGAAACAATTCTTCAAAACAAGTTAGTCAATGTAAAACATGTAATCTCTTCTGCTCCCTTAGAAAGCCATTCAAGCAAAACATCTTAAAATGATATATGAACAGTTTTTTTAAAGGAGAACTATGAGGTGAGTGCTTTTCACTCACCTCATAGTTCTAGCCGACCTGTGACAATGAGACTGTCACAGGTCGGCTCAGTAGATCGGGAGGTGAGCAAACACATACCGACGTTCGCTCACCTCTCGATCCTGTCACAGCTCTCTGCCGTGACAGGGGGAGGGCTGGATTCCCCTCTCCCCGCTCCGATCTGCCAGCGCTGACTGGCAGAACGGACGGGGGAGGGGGCGGGTACAGCTGGCTCTGCCTCTAGATGGGCAGAGCCAGCTGTCACTCACGCAGCTGGGCGGATCCCGTCATCTAAGTCGTGATCCGCTCCGGCGTCTCAGTATACCGCGAGCTGGTAACGGGAGGACGCTAGTTTGTGTCCTCCCGTTACCCTAAGGAGAACTATGGGGAAAAACACTGACCCCATAGTTCTCCTTTAAATACAGTAAAGTGTCAAAATACCTCCTGTTGTGGGAAATATACATTATGATGGTTCATTGGGGATATTTCAGTGAGAAAGGTTCTACTAGTTGCTGAATTTCCAGGGGTGACAATTACTTTTTATATGCTTTGCTCAAAACAATGCAAATTCTGTGCGTTTGTCTTTATTATCGATAAAATTAACATCAGATTACATTCCAAAGCCATTCAGGAAGAAATGCAGACAATTACTAAGGACTCTGAATATATTTATACTATAGCTGGCCACAGACTTTTAGATTTAAACTGAAAACAGCGTAGATGGACAAATATTCAGCTGTGGATAAGAAATAGATAATCCGCGCTTCTGGAAAGGAGACTAAAGTGGAAATGTATAATAAATTAAGACCTAAAGCCGCTCTAGAAAGAGGATAGAGGAATCCTATCAACAATCGAGAAAATATATATCAAAGCGCTAAAGGTGTAACTAATAAAAGACTTAATGTAACCAAGTGATAAAGTGAAATTTTAGGTTTAGGCGGTCTAGCTCTAAAACAAGTGATGTGTCTTACATGGAATCATAAAAAAATTATAAAATAAAAATAAAATTAATAGTACAATAGGGCTGTGGAAAAACAAAAAAACAAAAAAAAAACAAAAAAACAAAAAAAATAAAAATGATTGGGACGATAAGATTTCAACCACTGTGTAAAGACCTCGAATAGGTCACAGTATATAAACAATCCGTGAAAAAAATATAAACAATCCGTGAAAAAAATATATTAGAGAATTGGAATAAATTGGTCAACGAAAAAATAAACGTGAAAAGTGTGTACAAAGGAAGTTATTAGTGATATATATTGATGGTGGTATATATTTCGTAGCGGTAGTCCAACAATCCAAGTTTGAAAGCACGATTGCAGGCTCAAGTGTCACCAACTAAAAGCCTTTGATCCAACTCCATTTGGTGAGTACCCACCCAAGGGGGGCTGTTGGACTACCGCTACGAAATATATACCACCATCAATATATATCACTAATAACTTCCTTTGTACACACTTTTCACGTTTATTTTTTCGTTGACCAATTTATTCCAATTCTCTAATATATTTTTTTCACGGATTATATATATTTTTTTCACGGATTGTTTATATTTTTTTCACGGATTGTTTATATACTGTGACCTATTCGAGGTCTTTACACAGTGGTTGAAATCTTATCGTCCCAATCATTTTTTTTTTGTTTTGTTTTTTTTTTTGTTTTTCCACAGCCCTATTGTACTATTAATTTTATTTTTATTTTTATTTAATAATTTTTTTATGATTCCATGTAAGACACATCACTTGTTTTAGAGCTAGACCGCCTAAACCTAAAATTTCACTTTATCACTTGGTTACATTAAGTCTTTTATTAGTTACACCTTTAGCGCTTTGATATATATTTTCTCAAATATTCAGCTGTGGCTATTGTGTTCTTACAGCTGGCACTCACTGCTGTCTTGCTGCAGTTTTTGACAAACATGGGCCCATGAGTTCACATACTGCTTGAATTTCAGCTGTCAGCCAAAATTTGAGCAGTGCATGGTCAGCTTTAGCAGTGAATTCTTTGGAAGAAGAAAACAGTCAGCACTGTGCAGAAAATATCTTCCTTGCACACCAAGAACATGGACATACAGGTGTCAGAATACAGAGGAATATCTACCATTTGTGGTTTTAGGTGCCTGTCTACTTTTTTCTGTAGTGAGCATAAGTGTGTATTTGTGACGAAAATGCAGCAGAAATGAACCAGAGTGATGTTCTAAAGGTGGCCATTCTAAAGTGGTGCAGTGTGACAAAACAAAGACTTCACACATCTGTTATTTTCTCATCTCTCACTGAGGCTACCACAAAGTTTTATTCTAGTACAGACTTTACTTGCTAACTTCTATACTGCAAAATCAACAACTGGGACTACAACACTCACAAGGAGGTACATTCTGTAATCCCTGATCCCCCCCAACCTCCGTATTTGACTGCAACAGCACTATAAATATGGCCTTTTTTCTCTGGATTTCTTCAGAGCACTCTGAGATAACCTATTTGAACATTTTGACATGATAAAAGGGGATGATTGCTGGGGGAAGCTTTTTCCTTGTGTAGGAAGTGCCTGCAGATGGAGACACTAGTTGTTGATTAGTCTCCCTACATCATTACAGCACTACTTTTCTGTACCATACCTTTGTCAGGCTCCCTTCTAGGGAAGGAGGAAGCAGCAGCTACATGGGATTACACAGATTGTCAAACAGAATGTAACTTTTATAAAAATCTCCATAACTACTGAACTGTTTTATTCTTGGAAAACATTGCTCGCAGGCATAATTTCACTATAGCTTGTTTAGTATATATATATA